AATAAATTGTTGGATAAGATCAAATACATTCTTATCTTAATAATCATCATTTTTAATACATATAGTAGATGGATTTTCAGACCGGATCTTATGTTATATATCTATATTTTAAAGATTGAGTAAATATGGAACTTATTCTAGATTTTATTACAATAATGTTTTAATACTATTGTTTGTTTTTAATCAATTAATAGGTTTTTAGCCAAAATTAATGTAAATTTCCTCAACCCCATAAATAAATGCATAAGATTTAATTCACCTATTTTGAACCTTTCAATATAATTTCTGAAGATTTTAACCTTCTTTTTTTACATATGTAGATAGAAATTTATATAGTTTAATGAAAATTTTCAAAAAATGCCATTTTTTTACAATTTTTACAAAAATGTCACTTTTTCAAAATTATTTATTCATTATATCATTTATGTTTGGGTTAACTATGTTGTATTAGAATTTAGTTTTGAGAATTTAAAGGTTTTAGTGGTCAAAAGATTTTTTAGGGTTTAGAATTTTAAGATTTAGGCTCTAAAAAATAATAATTAGTGGCATTTTTGCAAATGGACACTAAAAGTGGTATTTTGCAAATGTGGACATAAAAAGTGACATTTTTGTAAATGTCCATAGTTTAATCTCTCAATTTATTTTAGGTAAAATTAAACTACAAACTTCTTAGTAAAATGACATTTTTCTTTGATATGTAATGTATCGTATAAATACTTTTATTTTGTGATTGCGACATGTATAATTAAAAAGTAGAAAAATGTAAAAAATATCTCACATTTTTTTTTTATTAGTTATCAAATCAATCAATGATACACACATTTATAGTGATAATAACGTTGAAGCGTGATTTTACACAATTTACATCTTAATTGTGACGTGCGAATGACATTTATTTTGATTGGTAATCCTTATAGCTACCAATCATAAATGTCAAAAGAATGAAGGAATCGAAAACGACATATCAAATTTTTTTTTTCTACCGCTATCTATTACCGTTTCTAACCATTTTGCTAATGTTTGATTTTGGTTTGTCTCGTCAATCAGATTAATTACTTATCTACTAACATGAGACATTGGCCGAATTGGTTTTAGCTTCAAAAGCTTAATGCCAATACTAAAGTAACGTTAATCACGCAATTTACGCCAAAATAGTAAAACAAATAACCAAATAATGGCCATTATTGTTTTGATAAGCTGGCATTCAAAGTCACGATAAATTTTGATTTAATATTCTTTCATTGCAACATGTCTTTTGATTTAATATTCTTTCAAAATCACGATAAATTTTGATTTAATATTCTTTCATTGCAACATGTCTTTTCTGTTGTATCACATGTCATTGTTTTATTATAATCTGAACAACATAGAAATTAACTAAACAATAATGTATTCAATCAATCTTAGTTGTAGTAGTATTATTTTTGGTCAACTCAGTCAAATCTTATAATGAAAACTGAAAACTATTATCAAAGTCTTCGTGGACTAATTTATTACTATATCTTAACGGGCCTAACCCGAATCTCAAGTTGGGCTTTTCTCGCAGAGGTTTTTATAGTGAGGTTCCAAAAAGCTTATCAGAACTTTTTAAAAGACGCGCCTAAAATGAAAAAAATCAAAAAGATTAAAAAAATAAGCGCTAAAAGAAACTAATATGATTGGTTGATTCACATATCACGCGGATCGCTAAACATAAAACAATCATAACCGTTGATTGGATCAAAGATCTAACGAACCAAAAACAAATCTCTCTCTTTCTCGTCTCTCTTACGCTTCGTTATATAAACCAATCCAGTCTCAGAGAAACACATCAACAACGATTCATCATTCTCTCAACAACTCAAATTCAAAGCTTTTCTCTTTTTTCCGATCTCACCAAATGGCTCGTACAAAGCAAACCGCAAGGAAATCCACCGGAGGAAAAGCACCGAGGAAGCAACTCGCGACGAAAGCGGCGAGGAAATCAGCTCCGGCGACCGGAGGAGTGAAGAAGCCACACAGATTCCGTCCCGGAACCGTTGCGCTAAGAGAAATCAGGAAGTACCAGAAGAGCACAGAGCTTCTGATCCGTAAGCTTCCGTTCCAGAGATTGGTTCGTGAGATCGCTCAGGATTTCAAAACCGATCTTCGTTTCCAGAGCAGCGCCGTTGCAGCACTCCAGGAAGCAGCTGAAGCTTATCTCGTTGGATTGTTCGAAGACACTAACCTTTGCGCGATTCATGCGAAGAGGGTCACGATCATGCCTAAGGATATTCAGCTTGCGAGGAGAATCAGAGGAGAGAGAGCTTAAGGAGAAGAAGTCGTACAAGACTAAGAATTTGTTTCCGTTTTGCTTTTCTATGTAAATCTTCTGTTTTTCGGCTGAGCTCTTTAGAGTGTTGGGGTTTAGGTTTTGCCTTTAAGATGTTCGACGAAATGCCTCATTGAATCTATATCAAGTTTTTCTTTTTATTTCTTTCTCTTCCATTTAATGTAATTCAATATGGTAA